GTGTACTACCAGGCCTCCAAACATCTAAATAGTTGTAATAGAAGGCTGCACTCACGGATTCCATAAAATATAACTTTTAATCAGTCTTGTTAAAAGAATCAACGTTTCAGTCCTACTTGAGGACTTTCATCAGGATTATACAGACAATGTACAAAAGACAATATATATATATATATATATAGGTTACAATAAGATGTAAACAGACTCACCCCAGGTGCTCTGTGTTGTGGCCGGCGTCTAATCCGGAAATGTGCACATGTGTGAGACCAACTCCGCCCCCAAACGTGACATCATGCGTATACGGCCGTCGTTGTCATAGAAACACGGCTAAACATGAAGTGTTGCGATCAGTATTCTATCCTGAGCGCATGTGCGGGGACTAACCCGCCCCCTAGCATAACAAAATTGTGTATTGTTGCCATAGTAACGCTCTATGGAAATCTAATGTGGCTAAAGTTTCTATTCACACATGCTAGTATTACTAAAAAATATTGTGTAAACGGACATTTAATAAGTAGTGAAACACCTAAGGACATCATAGGACGATGATGTTTGGAAAACATTATATGAAAATAAAGTGCTTACTACTGCTTAAAGTGTTAGTGCAAAATCCATCACTGTATAAAGTGCTGTGACTATGTAAGTGACAATTATTAAAGTGATATAGTGCTTTAGTGCTGAATAAGGTATTGTGCCACCTTATTAAAGCAACATTATCAATATAAAGAACAAAAATTTTTTAATTTAAAATAAAACAGCTTGCAACTGCTTGCTATATTCACAAAGGAAAAGATTATAAACTAGATAGTAAACTTACATCTATCACTTAAGGAATATATATTCTCAATATTAGCTAAAAATATTATTATATCAGGTATCAGATATTGTGTATTAAACACTAAAAATAGTTACTGATACCTAAAATAGTTTAATCAGAAAAGCATGCAACATTGAATCTAAGCCGAGGACAACACAAAAAAAATCAGCAGTTAATAGAAAAATAGAAAAATAGAAAAGTAGAAAAAGAAAAGAGTAAAGAAAGAAAACACACACTAAAATAGCATTAGGGGACATAAAGACTGTATGGATTCAAACTACACAAAGGAGTGTAGAGACAAAGCTTAATTTAGTCCTTTTGGGGACACCGTGTCCGACTCATGTATCCAGTATGCCTCTTTGTTCAAGAGCATCTTCCCACGATCACCCCCTCTCCTAGGGGCAGGGATGTGATCAATCGCCAGGAATTTTAATGTAGCTAATGGATGTTTTAATTCAAAGAAATGTTTTGCAACAGGTTTGTCTGAGTAACTATCTCTGTATGCCAGTTGAATAGTCGATCTGTGTCCCCTGATCTGTTCACAGATGGCCGTCTCCGTCTTCCCAATGTAGAACAAGCCACAAGGGCAACATAGTTTATAAAATCACATGTGTCATCTCACAGGTGATGGTATATCTGATAGTATATTTTCTGTTGTTATGAGGATGACAAAAAAGTTCTTGCAGGTGTCATATGGCTGCAAGTCACGCAACCAAGGCATCTAACCGACCCTCTTATTTGCGCCTTCGATGTTTTGATAAAACTTTGGGAGGGGTCCATATAGACAAACTTGTACTTCAGATTCCTGTTCCTTTTATGACATATCAATGGCTTTTCTTTAAATACTTTTGGGAGTGTGTCATCGCAAGACAATATCCTCCAATTCTTCCTGACTGACAATGCCACTTGGAGAGTGGATTGATGATATAGCATTGGGAAAACCAAACTAGAAGGCTTGTTCCTTACTTCAACAGCGCGTGCACTCCGTGCTTTTTGTAGCGCTATGTTAAGGATGTGCCTATCATATCCTCATTGTAGAAATTTGCTTTTCATTTTAAGGATCTCGGCATCCATAATTTCCTTATCTGAATTGTTCCTAATCACTCTTAGGAACTGTGCCTTAGGTAGTGAATTTTTCAAAGCCCTGGGATGTACACTTTGTTATTGGATAAGTGTATTTCTGTCTGTAGGCTTTGTATATAGAGAGTATTGTAGGCTTGTTGCCCCCAATGTGATTTCTAAATCCAAATAATGCACTTTCTTAGTGCTGATGTCTGCAGTAAATCTCATGGGTGTTGGGAGAAACATAGAAACATAGAAACATAGAAACATAGAAACATAGAATGTGACGGCAGATAAGAACCATTCGGCCCATCTAGTCTGCCCAATTTTCTAAATACTTTCATTAGTCCCTAGCCTTATCTTATAGTTAGGATAGCCTTATGCCTATCCCACGCATGCTTAAAGTCCTTTACTGTGTTAACCTCTACCACTTCAGCTGGAAGGCTATTCCATGCATCCACTACCCTCTCAGTAAAGTAATACTTCCTGATATTATTTTTAAACCTTTGTCCCTCTAATTTAAGACTATGTCCTCTTGTTGTGATAGTTTTTCTTCTTTTAAATATAGTCTCCTCCTTTACTGTGTTGATTCCCTTTATATATTTAAATGTTTCTATCATATCCCCCCTGTCTCGTCTTTCCTCCAAGCTATACATGTTAAGATCCTTTAACCTTTCCTGGTAAGTTTTATCCCGCAATCCATGAACCAGTTTAGTAGCCCTTCTCTGAACCCTCTCTAAGGTATCAATATCCTTCTGAAGATACGGTCTCCAGTACTGTGTACAATACTCCAAGTGAGGTCTCACCAGTGTTCTGTACAATGGCATGAGCACTTTCCTCTTTCTACTGCTAATACCTCTCCCTATACAACCAAGCATTCTGCTAGCATTTCCTGCTGCTCTATTACATTGTCTGCCTACCTTTAAGTCATCAGAAATAATCACCCCTAAATCCCTTTCCTCATATGTTGAGGTTAGGACTCTATCAAATATTCTGTACTCTGCCCTTGGGTTTTTACGTCCAAGATGCATTATCTTGCACTTATCCACATTAAATGTCAGTTGCCACAATTCTGACCATTTTTCTAGTTTACCTAAATCATTTGTCATTTGGCTTATCCCTCCTGGAACATCAACCCTGTTACATATCTTAGTATCATCAGCAAAAAGACATACCTTACCATCAAGACCTTCTGCAATATCACTAATAAAAATATTAAAGAGAATGGGTCCAAGTACAGATCCCTGAGGTACCCCACTGGTGACAAGTCCAAGCTTCGAATATATTCCATTAACTACAACCCTCTGTTGCCTGTTACTCAGCCACTGCCTTACCCATTCAACAATATTTGAATCCAAACTTAAAGATTGCAGTTTATTGATACCATTTCATGTGCTGATTCGCTTGTTCCACTTCATATAATGAGCAAATCGTCGATGAATCTGTAGTAAGCCAATATGTTGTGTTGGTATTTCTCTAATATATACTCTTCCTCATAGATATACATGTAGGCGTTGGTGTACATCGGCGCCATTGCCGCGCCCATTGATGTGCCTGACACCTGAAGGTACCAGCTGTCCTCAAATCGGAAATAGTTGTTCTGTAGAGTCAAAGTGAGTAGTTCCAATGTATATTCTATAGGGGGGCCATGATAGGCTGTAGATTGAGTTAATACCTGTCACATAGCTTCAACACCACGTGTATAGGCTATGTACATCCATGGTTATTAGAACTGGTCTTTGGTCACCATATCGTAACTTATTGATGTTGGTTATAAGAGATTGAGTGTCTTTAATACAGGTATGTAATTGCCCAACTGGACTCTGAAACAGGTAATCAAGCCATTTTGCAATAGGCTCCAAGATGCCATCAGTGGCAGAGACTATGGGGCGTCCTGGAGGTGTATTGGGGTCCTTGTGGATCTTAGGGATAGAGTATATAATAGGAGTACGTGGGAATGGTTTAGTGAGGTACTGATGTAATTTGAAGTCAATATAGCCCGCTCTTAGACTCATGGATAGAATATCCTCGATCTTAGTCTGGATATTCCTAGCTTGAAACACAATATAGGAAAAGATGCAAAACCAGTGAACCACTCATGGACAGCTGTTTTGTTGTTCATGCAACTCGTCAGCATGAGGTTGTGTTTCAAGCTGTTGTATACAGCAAACATAGATTAAAAGGAATCCATGTTTAAAATGGAAAGAGGCAAAAATGTGATTCTTTGTTAAACTAATTTGCATATGCCCACCCAGAATCCTTTGCGGTTGTAACATTGCTGCAGTTATGGGATTTCTGTGGGAAAAGCAAGTCTTATGGTTTGACTGGTGTGCAGATTTTTTACATTGTATTAATTATCCACAGACTTCAGGTGGAAGAGGTTTTCAATCACATTTTTTCCCCACCATAACCTATTTGGATTTTGCTTCCCAACACTACCAAGCCTCAATAAGCAAACCAGTAACCAACCTCATGCTGACGATTTGCATTAACAACGAAACAGCTGTCCATGAGTGGTTCACTGGTTTTGCATCTTTTCCTATATTGTGTTTTAAGCTGTTGTATACAGCACACAAAGATTAAAAGGAATCCATGTTTAAAATGGAATGAGGCAAAAATGTGATTCTTTGTTAAACTAACTTGTTAAACTTATTATATATAATTGTATTCAGGGGAAACATGGCTTTCATTTAACATCAAATATTTAGGTATGAAACATAATTTAATATGAATAAAATGTAAAAAAATTGGAAAAAATAAGAATTAAAAAAACATTAGTTCTATGCGACATTCTAACTGTGAATGTCATACTGCAATAAAAAACACATATTTGTATTAAGCGATGTCTCACGTGTAAAACAGTACCCCCTATGTACAGGTTTTATGGTGTTTTGTGAAGTTACAGGTGCATGTTACATTTTTCAGTTTTTTCACATTGAAATTCGCCAGATTGGTTACGTTGCCTTTGAGACCGTATGGTAGCCCAGGAATGAGAATTACCCCCATGATGGCATACCATTTGCAAAAGTAAACAACCCAAGGAATTGCAAATGGGGTATATCCAGTTTTTTTTTTAAATTGGCATTCAAATTAGTTGTTTGCATTTTTCACACACAAACAAATATTAACACTAACTTTGGCCAGTGTTTGTGACCAAGTGACTGCTAAAAAAAACTGGACATACCAATTGGTCACAAACACTGGCCAAAGTTAGTGTTAATATTTTTTTGTGTGTGAAAAATGCAAAAAAACTAATTTGAATGCCAATTTTGGCCAGTGTTTGTGACTAAGTGGCTACTAAAAAAGACTGGAGATACCCCATTTGCAATACCTTGGGTTGTCTACTTTTGCAAATGGTGTCGGGAGCAAGGATTTGGCTTTATTTGTCATGGTAGCTCTGTTTGGAATGGAGATAAGCTGTACAAAAAAGATGGTTTGTATCTTTCTCAAAAGGGAACAAATGTTCTCAGTGAGCAGTTCAGAGGTTTTGCTAGGATGTATTTAAACTAGGAGGGGGGAGCAAAAGGGTGATAAAACATCAATCCAATTGTCCCCCAAAACAAGGACAGAAGGTGCCTGTAGCAAGTGTGTTAAAAAATGATAAGCTTAGAGTCATGTCTACAAATGCTCGCAGTTTAGGGAATAAGATCCATGAACTTGTGGCAATAATGGCAACTGATAGTGTAGATTTAGTTGCTGTTACTGAGACATGGTACAATGAGAAAAATGACTGGGACATAGCAATACCAGGGTACTCTTTATATAGGAAAGATAGGGAAGGCAAGAAAGGGGGAGGGGTGGCCTTGTATGTGAAGGATAGCATAAAATCTAGCCTAATAAAAGTTAGTGAGGCAAACATAGAGTCCATTTGGGCTACGTTAGAATTTGGTAATCACACAGTAACTCATGTAGGTGTGATTTATAGGCCCCCAGGACAAATTGAAGAGTTAGATAATCTACTAGTTGAGGAAATAGCTAAAATGACAATGAAGGGGGAAGTTATCATCATGGGTGACTTTAATCTTCCTGATGTAAATTGGAAAACAAAATTAGCTACTTGTGCCAGGAGCACACATATTCTAAACTCCCTACTGGGATTGTCTCTAAAACAAGTCGTTGAGGAGCCAACTCGTAAAGAGGCCATACTAGATTTAGTGTTAACAAATGGAGATTTGGTATCAGATATTACTGTAGGTGAAAGTTTGGGATCCAGTGATCATCAGTCAGTGTGGTTTAATATAAGAACAGTGACTGAGTCACACCACTCAAAAACAAAAGTTTTAGACTTTAGAAAAACAGACTTTTCTAAAATTAGAATATGGGTAGAGGAGTCATTATCAGACTGGAGCAATTTCAATGGAGTCCAAGAGAAATGGGATTATTTAAAAGTTGCACTATTGAAGGCAACAGAAAATTGCATTAGGCTTGTCAGTAAAAGCAAAAAATTCAAGAAACCACTGTGGTACTCCGCAGATGTGGCCAAAATAGTTAAAAACAAAAAGTTAGCATTTAGGAATTATAAAAAAAACCAGAGTGAGGAAGACAAAATGATCTATAAGATTAGGCAGAAAGAGGCTAAGCAAGTTATAAGAGCTTCCAAATCACACACAGAAGAGAAAATAGCACAGTCAGTAAAAAAGGGGATAAAACATTTTTTAGATACATAAATGAGAAAAGAAAAGTAAAACAAGGATTAGTTAGATTAAAAACAAAAGAAGGAAGGTATGTAGAAGAGGATAAAGGTCTAGCTGACTGCCTCAATGAATATTTTTGTTCTGTATTTACAGATGAAAATGAAGGAAAGGGACCTCAGTTGAGAAAAAGGATAAATGAGTCATTTATTACACATGAGTTTACAGAGGAAGAGGTTCTATTTCAACTGTCAAAAGTAAAGACAAATAAGTCAATGGGACCTGATGGAATACACCCAAAGCTATTAAAAGAGCTTAGTGGTGTACTAGCAAAACCATTAACAGATTTATTTAACCAATCATTGTTAACAGGAGTAGTCCCAGAAGATTGGAAGTTAGCGAATGTTGTGCCCATTTACAAGAAAGGTAATAGGGAGGAGTCGGGCAACTATAGGCCAGTAAGCCTTACTTCAGTAGTGGGGAAAGTGATGGAAACCATGTTAAAGGATAGGATTGATGAACATCTAAAAACACATGGATTTCAAGATCAGAGACAACATGGGTTTACTTCAGGGAGATCATGCCAAACTAATCTTATTGATTTTTTTGATTGGGTAACTAAAATTATAGATCAGGGTGGTGCAGTAGACATTGCTTACCTAGATTTCAGTAAGGCTTTTGACACTGTTGCACATAGAAGGTTTATCAATAAACTGCAATCTTTAAGTTTGGATTCCAATATTGTTGAATGGTAAGGCAGTGGCTGAGTGACAGGCAACAGAGGGTTGTAGTCAATGGAATATATTCGAAGCTTGGACTTGTCACCAGTGGGGTACCTCAGGGATCTGTACTTGGACCCATTCTCTTTAATATTTTTATTAGTGATATTGCAGAAGGTCTTGATGGTAAGGTATGTCTTTTTGCTGATGATACTAAGATATGTAACAGGGTTGATGTTCCAGGAGGGATAAGCCAAATGGCAAATGATTTAGGTAAACTAGAAAAATGGTCAGAATTGTGGCAACTGACATTTAATGTGGATAAGTGCAAGATAATGCATCTTGGACGTAAAAACCCAAGGGCAGAGTACAGAATATTTGATAGAGTCCTAACCTCAACATATGAGGAAAGTGATATAGGGGTGATTATTTATGATGACTTAAAGGTAGGCAGACAATGTAATAGAGCAGCAGGAAATGCTAACAGAATGCTTGGTTGTATAGGGAGAGGTATTAGCAGTAGAAAGAGGGAAGTGCTCATGCCATTGTACAGAACACTGGTGAGACCTCACTTGGAGTATTGTACACAGTACTGGAGACCGTATCTTCAGAAGGTTATTGATACCTTAGAGAGGGTTCAGAGAAGGGCTACTAAACTGGTTCATGGATTGCGGGATAAAACTTACCAGGAAAGGTTAAAGGATCTTAACATGTATAGCTTGGAGGAAAGACGAGACAGGGGGGATATGATAGAAACATTTAAATATATAAAGGGAATCAACACAGTAAAGGAGGAGACTATATTTAAAAGAAGAAAAACTACCACAACAAGAGGACATAGTCTTAAATTAGAGGGACAAAGGTTTAAAAATAATATCAGGAAGTATTACTTTACTGAGAGGGTAGTGGATGCATGGAATAGCCTTCCAGCTGAAGTGGTAGAGGTTAACACAGTAAAGGAGTTTAAGCATGCGTGGGATAGGCATAAGGCTATCCTAACTATAAGATAAGGCTAGGGACTAATGAAAGTATTTAGAAAATTGGGCAGACTAGATGGGCCGAATGGTTCTTATCTGCCGTCACATTCTATGTTTCTATGTTTCTATGTTTCTATGTATGCCATCATGGGGGTAATTTTCATTCCTGGCTTACCGTATGGTCTCAAAGGCAACATAACCAACATGGCGAATTTCAATGTGAAAAAACTGAAACGCAAGCTTTATATTTGACTCTGTAACTTTTGAAAACACCATAAAACTTGTACATGAGGGGTACTGTTATACTCTGGAAACTTCGCTGAACACATATTAGTGTTTCAAAAGAGTAAAAGTATCACAACAATTATATCGTCCGTGTAAGTACCATTTGTGTGTGAAAAATGCAAAAAATTTCACTTTCACTGACAATATCGTCGTTGCAATACATTTTACTGTTTTGAAACACTAATATTTGTGTTCAGCGAAGTCTTCCGAGTTAAACAGTACCCCCATGTACAGGTTTTGGCCTGGGTTGTTAGGCAGGTCCCGCTAATTGTAATTAATAAAATGACCTAATTATGAAATTTATTACATAAATATATACGTAGAATTATTATATATATGTGTGTATATATATATATATATATATATATAATTTTTTTAAATTATTTTTATTTATGTATAGGTATAATGGAAAATGTATTCATACTTACTGTAATTTTCTTTTCCTGGTCATAGGCCATGGCAGCACAACATTGGGTAGCTCCTCCCTATCCCCATTGGACAGGAATAATAATTAAGCCGTATAAGTACCACCTTCTACCCCTCCTTCCCCAGTCATGTTTTTCAGCAATAGCCCCGGGTGGGACCCTTGTTCTGCCATGGCCTATGACCAGGAAAAGAAAATTACGGTAAGTATGAATACATTTTCCATTTTCCTGGCAATATCCATGGCAGCACAACATTGGGTAATACCCAAACAATAAACCAGGGAGGGAAGAAGACACAGACTTGAAAATTTGAATGCAAAGTGTATTAACACCATTAACAAGTGACAAACAAAGAAATCATGTTTCGGATCCAGACAGAACTGATTTAGCAAATTGATCTGATAGACCTGCTCTGACATCAATTTGATAACTCCTAATGAAAGTATTGGTGGAAGACCATGTGGCCGCCTTACAAATGAGTTCAGGAGAGACATTAGCTGCGGCTGCCCAGGAAGATGAGAGGGCCCTAGTGGAATGGGCTTTAAGACCCACAGGGACCTGATATCCAGAAGATTGATAAGCCAGTATAATGGCTGCAACTATGCACGTGCTAATAGTAGATTTAGGGGCGTGTAAGCCTTTTTTACAACCGCTATGAAGGACCAAGAGACTTTGAGAAGTGCGCCAAGCAGCAGTCCTTTCAATATATATATATGAAGGCATCTCACTAGGTCCAGAGATGACTGGTCAGTTGAATTCTCACTTTCTTGGAATTCAGACCTCAGAGATGGAAGAACAATATCTTCATTGATGTGAAAAGCGGAGGTGACTTTAGGTCTAAATTCAGGAACAGTACAGAGGATAACTCTGTCCTTGTGAAAGACCGTAAAGGGTTCCTTAATGGATAGGGCGTGGAGCTCCGAAACTCTCCTGCCGAAAGCTAGGGCGATCAGCAAAGCCGTCTTGATAGAGAGAACATGCAGAGGAATTGATTCAAGGGGTTCAAAGGGCTCCAATTTTAAGGCGTTTAGAACCAAAGGGAGATTCCAGGAGGGAACAAATGGCTTAATTGGAGGTTTAATTTTAAGGACTCCTTTAATGAATCTGACAACATCCGAGTCCAATGCCCATCTATGATTGGTTAAGGCGGACAAGGCTGAGATGTGTACTTTTAGAGTATTATAACT